ACATGAATGTCTCGGAAAGAGAATTCCCCCTGGAAAGCCATCCAAGAGCAGGGAGGAGAAGCCAGAGCAACTGCAGGAAGAGTGGGGAGAGGGAGGAGGGGGAGGGCTTGGCCGAGCCTCTGCCTCAGGAACACAGCAGCACCTGGCACAGCCAGGCCTGGCTCTTGCCGACCTGCCCCGGAGCCACGCAGGACAGGGCGGTCCCTGGTTCCTCCTTCCCCCAATGCCATGCCCGGCACGAGCACTCAGTGCCAGGCTGGATGGTGCTGCCCCACCTGTGGATGATGCCCAGGGCCTTGTAGATGGCCACGCGCCCGCTGCCCTCCTTGGACTGCCCGTCCCGCTTGTCCCGGGCGTACATGTTCTTCTCCGAGAAGTTGCAGCCCGTGAAGTCGAAGTGAGGCGAGTTCAGGGAGATCAGTTTGGGGAACAGCATGTTCTCCACCTGTGGAGAGCAGCAGGGGTGACGGGAAGCCCTCGGCTGCCCGTCCTGCTCCGGTGGGACCAGTGCCAAGTGTGGGGATTCACCAGGGGTTGGCTGGGCCCGCTCTGCTCCAGTTCCAGGGTCTCACAAGCTCCAGCTGTGCCCAGGGGATGCTGCCCAGCCCTGCCCACCTCGCACTGGGCTCTCCTGACAGCCGGGTGGGAGGAGAGGAAGGGAGCCCAGTGGCACTGCTCTTCCCCACCCTCATCCCTCAGGAGAAAGGCAACACTGCTGCTGGCCCACACCAGCTCCCGGGGGAAATCTGAGACCTCCTAGGGGAGGAGAGGGAGGAGAAAGGAGAGAAGGAAAGAAGGAGGAAGGGAAGGAGAGGAGGAAAAAGAAAGAAAAGTAAGATAAGGAAGGAAAGGAGAAAGAAGGGAAAAGGAAGGAGCTGTGACAGGAGTGGGAGGGAGTGTTGGGGCCTGTGTGGAGGGGGCAGAGCAGCAGGAGGGTCCCAGCAGGGACTCACCTGGTCGTTCTCGTCGCTGAAGCTGTTCCCGTACATGAAGCAGCCGCGCTTGGACGCGTGGCCGTGCAGGTCCACGTAGTAGGCCAGGCCACTGTCCTGGGGGGCGATGGGCTCGGGGGGCTCGGTGGGCTCGGGCAGGGGGGCCGAGGGAGGCCTCTGCGCCCCCTCCTCACAGTGCTGGTCGGTGTGGCTGGAGGGCAGGATCCAGGCCCGGTCGGTGCTGTCCTGGTCGGTGCCGGCACACCGGGCACCGGGGGAGTTCCGCGCGTTGTTGGCTTTGTCCAGCTCCGACAGCGCGGCCTCCGCCTCCGGGACGGGAGGGTTGGGGCACTTTGTGCTCAGCGAGCTGGTGCCGAGGGGGGAGACAAACGTCCTCCAGTCCGGAGAGCCCGGCAGGACGCGGCTGTGGATGTGGTGGTAGAGCAGCACGGCCTTGGCCCCGTACACTGCAGGGTGCAGCTCGGCGTCGGGGTGCAGGTACTGCCGGTTCAGGTTCACCCCGCGGGAGTCGGTTCTGCGGGGAGAGCAGAGACGTGAGACCCTTCCAGGGTGCCCTGGCAAAGCTGAGCTCACCTTGGAACACCAACACTCCGGGATCTGTCCTGGAGTACGACAGCCAAACCACCCCCTCACAGCCAGAGCACTGAGAACCTCGGCAAGGCAGAGCCCTGCATGATATCCTAGAGAAAGGAATGCAGCTGGGAAGGGGCTGGAGCAGCAGGAGCAGCTGAGGGAGCTGGGGGGTCTCATCCTGGAGAAAAGGAGGCTCAGGGGGGACCTTCTGGCTCTGCAACCCCCTGACAGGAGGGGGGAGCCCGGGTGGGGGTCGAGCTCTGCTCCCAGGGAACAAGGGACAGGACAAGAAGAAACAGCCTCAAGCTGTGCCAGGGGAGGGTTAGGTTGGATATAGGGAACAATTCCTTCACGGAAAGGGGTGTCCAGCCCTGGCACAGCTGCCCAGGGCTGTGGTGGAGTCCCCATCCCTGCAGGGATGGATGTGGCACTTGAGGACATGGGTTAGTGGTGGCCTTGGCCGTGGGGGAATAGTCAGACTCGATGGCCTCAGAGGGCTTTTCCCACCCAAATGATCCCATGAAACATGGAGCAGGTTTCCAGGCAGGAGAGCCCAGCCCGGCCCCGCACTCACCGGTAGTGGCCCCGCACCACCCCGTCGGGGTTCAGCATGGGGATGAGCTTGAAGACGAACATCCGCCGCAGCATCTGGGCACGGGGATCCTCCTCCCGCAGGATGAAGTCCAGGAAGCCATTGAAAACAAAGCTGGAGGGGGTTTCTCCTGGGTGGACTCTGCTGCTGAGGAAAAACACCTGGGGACAAAGCAGACAGGGGTGAGGGGGGTCCCTGCCTGCCACCCGACGCTGCAGTGCAGGAGGGTCTCGCAGACTCTGCTCCCCACTCTCCACCCAAACGCTCCAGCCCTCGGGGACACGACACAGTTTGGGTCACAGACATGAGAGCGGCAGCCAGGCACCGACACAGGGGCCTCTGTGGGGGCTGCTGACCCCCCTGTCCCCAGCACAGCCCCGGTGCCGGCACGGCCACTCACCCTCTTGCCGGCGAAGCGTCGCGGCCGGGGCGTGCTGGTGTCTGGGAAGAGCTTGTCCAGCCGTGGCTCCCGCTTTTCCTGCATGCCGTGGCACGAGGTCACCGTCAGCAGGTCCACACGCAGCTTGTCCAGAGAGTGGCACAGCAGCTCCCGGTGGTAATAGACGGAGTCCAGGGGGCTGTGGGGTGAGGAGGGGCCTCAGCCACACCCAGAGCCAGGGGGCTCCCGGCCGGGCACTCTCACACTGGGAAGGGGATGAGAGGGCTGGGAAGGGGGCGTGGGGGGCACACCTGCTGGGGGACATGTGCCTGCAGTCCTGGAAGCGGCCGTCCAGCTGTGCCAGCATGTCCTGGCACTCGGTGTAGGAGAAGGGGTAGCAGAAGGCAAAGTAGGTGGTGGCCCCGCGGTGCTCCAGGAAGCGGTGCACGAAGGACAGCACGAACTGCGTCTCCACCACCTGCCACAGACACGGAGCAGGGCTGGGCACAGGGGCAGGGCCACCCTGGCACAGCCCCCACTCCCCTCTTCTGGCCCCCTTGGGCATCGCCCTTGGCTGTCCCCGTGGGAATCACTGCCCAGCCACCACCCTTGGTGTCCTGGCACACCAGGCTGCTTCCTGCAGATCCTTTGGCTCCTTGCTCACCCCACCACCGAAACCACAGAACGGGAATCCCTTGGGCAGCTCCCACCACATCCAAGGAAGCTCCTGGGAATCTCACCCCTTGGCTGTGCCTCCCAGGGCTCCCCCAGCCCCCCTGGCTGTGCCCCCCACCGGGGCAGCAGCACCTGCTGCCACAAAGAGCCGTTTTCTGGCCACTTTGGCACCTGCTGAAGGGGAAGAGAAGCACCAGGAGTGCTCGGGGGGCAGTTCTGTGTTCCCCCATCGAAAACACCCCATGGTGGCCTGTGCCCAGCCGCAGCTCCCTGGACTCTCCTCTGCACAGCCCTGGGAAGGGACTGCCATTAACCCCCTTCCCCCAGGGGTGCCAGGGACAGCCCAGCCACTCCCCTGCCCCAGCAGAGTGCAGTGGTCACCCCGTGGCGAGGGAGGGGTGTCCGTGCCCCCCGAGCCGCCCCCCGGCCCGTGTCCCACCTGGAAGCTGGGCCGCTGCCGGATGCGCTCCCAGCGCGGGCGCACGGGCAGGGTGCGCACGAAGGGAGCCATGCCCTGCGCGTACAGCCGGCTCTGCTTGTTCATGTTCAGGATGTGCAGCTTGATCAGCTTCCCCGGGGCCCCCCCGCGCACGCTGAAGTAGAACCAGGACCTGGGAGGGGGCAGGAGCGGCGCCGGCTCAGCCCCTGCCCGGGGAGTGTCCCCCGAGGAGTCCCCCCACTTTCCACCCACCCACCCACCCGGCCCTGACCGGAGCCTGTCAGACCCCCGGGGGAGGGACCAGACCCCCCGAGCCTCCTCCCAGGGCACCCCGGACCCCGCTGGCTCCCTCAGCCCCCCAACTTCACGGACCCCCTTTCCAGGGCACCCCTACACGGTACCACCCACCCACCCATCCGGCCCTGTCGAACCTTGTCTGTCCCCCGGGGGGGCTTAGATCCCTGAGGAAGAGGGCACAGACCCCCCGAGCCCACTCCCAGGGCACCCTGATCCCCCCGGCCACCCCCCAGCCCCTTTGCTCAGCCCCCCAACCCCACCGACCCCCGTTCCAGGGGCTCCCTCGCCCCGCACCAGCCACTGCTGGACCCCGCCAGGCCCTTCCCCGGGGAACCCCCGACCCCAGCGCCCCCGGTACGGAACCAGCCGCCCCTATTCGCTCCCCCCGCCCGCCGTTACCTGTTGCCGTTCTCATACTCGGTCTGGGCGCAGTCGGGCCGCGTCCACACGTTGAACTCGTAGTCGGCGGCGGGGAGCGCGTTGGCCCGGGCGGCGTGGCCGCCCCCCGCCTCTGCCGGCCGCACCTGCTCCACATGCGCCAGGTTCCCCGAGTCGAAGCGGGAGCTGAAGAGGAGCCCCCCGCAGCGGATCTCCATGGCCCGGCGGGGCCGGCCCCGGCATCGCCCCGGCGCGGCCCCGGCACGGCCGGTACGGGCCGCCCGGCAACAGCAACGCGCGCGACCATTGGCCGCCGCCTCCCAGCAACGCAGCCGCCCATTGGCCGGCGCCTCGGCAACGGCCGCGGCGCCCCTGGGGCCGCTCCGCCTCCCTGGCCACGCCCCCTGTAGACCACGCCCCTCCCCTGGCCACGCCCCCCGTCCCTTCACACCTGTCCGTGCTCACCTGTACACGGAGCACAGGTGTGTGCACAGACACGCGTACACGGAGCACAGGTGGGTGTGTGCACAGACAGGCACGGACACCTGTACACGGAGCCCAGGTGTGCGCACAGACAGGGACAGACGTGTTCGTGCCCACGCGTGGCTGCGTAACGCAGGTCGCACACACAGCTACAGACACACCTGCGCTCAGGAACACAGGTACGCGCACACACACCCGTGCACGCGGCAAAGGGAGGCGGCGGCAGCACAACGGCGGAGGCGGGACTCGAACCCGCCACCTCCCGCACGCCGGGCGGGCGCTCTGCCCGCTGAGCCAACCCGGCGGGAGGGGCCGCGCGGCGCCAGCGGCTCCTTTGTATTGCTGGGCGCCGAGGCGGAGCGACCACGATGATGGTGCCGCGCCCACTGAGGGGAAACGGTGCCTTCCCCCCCAAAAATGCGCCGCGGATGGGGCGCAGGGGTGTATGAATAACCCCCTTCACCCTGCGGGCATCTTCCGTAAGAAAAGAAAATAAAGCACGTGGAGTAATTATAAGGAAAAAATAATAAAATAAATCAGTTCATTTACCAGGGGGAAGGGGTGGGGTGTGGGGGTGGGTGGGGGGCTCCGGGTGTCCACCCCTGATCCTGCAAGCAGGCAAAGCACGAGGGGACGGGGATCACCCACCAGGGACAGACAGAGGGACAGGGAAAGCCAAAGCAGTCACAGGGTGAGGAAAAAACCTGTATGTGTGTCTCCCCAGCCCCCCAGAAAATAAACCTCCCCCAAAAGCCCCGACTTGACCCAAAGTTCCTGTGGGCATTGCCCTCAACGTCTCCATCCCCCATCCAGCTGCACTGGGATACCCCTTGGCAGCCGGAACGTCGGGAGAGACGGCGGCGCGACCTTCTCCAGGAAGCAGCTCAGTGTCCAGAAATCATGGCCAGGGCCCAGTTTTTGAGGGCCAGGGTTGTGTTTTGCAGGTAAATCCAAGAAGAATAGGTGAAACTCGTCAGGTGGTCCCTCACGCACTCCCACGTCACGTCCCCGCTGGAAAAGCAAGGAGGGGTTATGGGGTTATGGGAGGGGAGCCAGAGGCAGGAGGGGTGACACGGGGGGGGATACAGGAGCCCCTCGGGCAGGGTGATGCTGGCCCAGGAGCAGGATGAGGAGCCAGCCCCCAGCAGGGAGAGAGGTGGCTGATACACCCAGGGAGCCCCTGGGGGAGCGGAGCCCAAGGGACCCTGTGGGACCCCACGGGGGGGGGTCTCTGCTCACTTGCAGGAGTCGAGGCAGCGCTGCCAGCCCTGCTGCAGCACCGAGGCCAGGCCCTGCAGCAGCGGCACCAGGCAGCTCCGCACCAGGAACAGCAGCAGCTCCCGCACGCACTCGGCCAAGTGCAGCAGGGACTCGGGGAGCCGGGTCTGCACCTGCGGGAGCACAGACAGCCTGGGGTGAACAGCAAACTTTGTCACTATCAGTAACCTGATAGTTCCATCTCAGCCCCTCCCTCCTCTGTCATCCCTGAGCCCTTCCCACCTCCCCCCTTCTCCTCCCACGCTCTGTGCAACACTGACATCACCCCACTGCCACCAAAACACTGGTTTTCAGGACATCAACACCGGGAGGTTTTCTCAGCCCTCTCCCTGTCAGCCCTGACAGCCACTGGGAGCAGCCAGAGCAGGGGGGCACCATAGGGGGACGAGTGGCATTGGAGATGTGGTGCAGGGCCTCCCCCTCCCATAAGCCCCCCACCGCATTCCTGGTCTCCTCCAGCCCTGGGAACACCCTCTTACCCACTCGCTGAGCCAGGGCAGGCTGCCCTGGAGCCACGAGAGCAGGGAGCAGCACTGCTGGGACACATCCTGGGCCACCTCGCCCCCCGTATCCCAGAGCAGCTCCAGCTGCGGCCGCAGGACGGACACGGCTGCAGAACCGTGGTGGGCCAGGCTGTGCTCCAGCCACCTGCAGGGGAGGGAGGACTGGTGAGGGCAGCGCCAGACCAGGGCACCACCACGGGGCAACGGAGCTGCCACCGCAGAGGAGAACTCTGGGCTGAGCTGGAAGTGCCCCCAGGCAGGGCTGGGAACGGCTCCCGGCTCCCTCCCGAGCCCCCGTCGTGCTGCACGATGGCCTCGCCCCTCACACCCGCCATCTGCCACCCACCCACGCCGCTGCCACCCACCTGTAGCCCTGGAGGCAGCCGTGGGACACCTTCTGCCAGGCCAGCTGGGAGGCGGGCAGGACGCCCGAGGAGCGGAGCAGCCGCGCGGAAGAGGAGGCTGGAAGAGACAGGAGTGTTCCTTGAGCGGCCCCTGGCTGAGGGGACACGTGCCAAGCTGTCCCCAGGGGCTCTGCTGTGACACATGTCTGTCTGTCTGTCCCCGAGGGCTCTGCTGTGACACGTGTCAGTCTGTCTGTCCCTGAGGGCTCTGCTGTGGCACGTGTCTGTCTGTCTGTCCCCGAGGGCTCTGCGGTGACACATGTCTGTCTGTCCCCAAGGGCTCTGCAGTGACACGTGTCTGTCTGTCTGTCCCCGAGGGCTCTGCTGTGACACGTGTCTGTCTGTCTGTCCCCGAGGGCTCTGCTGTGACACGTGTCTGTCTGTCTGTACCTGAGGGCTCTGTGGTGACACGTGTCTGTCTGTCCCTGAGGGCTCTGCTGTGACACGTGTCTGTCTGTCTGTCTGTCCCTGAGGGCTCTGTGGTGACACATGTCTGTCTGTCCCCGAGGGCTCTGCT